TATAATTCCATAGCGTGGAGAATTTTCAATAATCACCTATGTAATTATACTAAACCACATCGTCAATTGGCGTATATGATAATTTGTATAATTATCCAATTAAACACATAAGTAAGATCAAAACCTTCATATAGAATCCATCTATTATCCCATGACGTATTGTCTCATCAATTTTATATTCTACCAAATCTTTAACATAGAAAGTCTTTCCGGAAACACTTGCAGAGGTTGTCTGAAATTGCTCGTCTATATACCACTTCCTTCCCTGAAATGCATTAAAGTGCATTACTTTGTACGAATACTTTGTGAAATCTAATGGAAAACTTTAAGTCGTCATATGATAACTATGCCGATTTTTTTATTTTTTGAATTAAAAACGTACAGGGAGGTTTTTTGTACGTCAGGAGTGACAAAATTTCTACAACAAGCAAGAAAATGTTTGTATTAAGCGTACTTGATACAGTTCTTTGATGAATCGATCAGTTTTTTCGGGATATCTGGCCAATTTATTTGAAACTGAAGGTGTGGCCAGTTGTAATTTGATGATGTCTGATGGCGGAATCCAATAAAAAGGGTGCTCATTTCCGTAACTCTGCATAAAGATAAACAATTTCACAAGTAAAAAATTAAACACATTTAACATTCGTATTAGTTAACATTCGCTTTCATTAGAAATTTTTTAGATATTTTAGGATTAATTGCGATTTACCTTTCTTAATGAGATGCAGTTTTCCAAGCCTTTCACTTTAAAGGACAAAACGGATGAAAGCGTCGGAAGATTCACTCCAAAACGACCCATCATCATCCAAAGAAACTCCAAGTCTGATCTTGACTGTGAGATAATGATTTATATGCCAATTAAATTTGTCACAAAAAAACTTGCCAAAGAAAACTTGCTCGTCTGTAACGGTGTTTTTAGGGACCATGCAAAATTTATGTTTATACGGGGCCGGAGCAAAAGGGGACGGGGCACATACTTTTTTTGAGCTGCACAGAAGCCGGCACAAAGAATTTTTATGTGTTTCAGGTGGGGCACAATCGGGCACACACTTTTATTTTACCATATTCCACTTTTATTAGTAACCCTTAACAACAGATTCCGATACAGGATATAGTAAAACGGCCACCAAAATGACCAAATAAAATGACCAAACGGCTCTTTGTCAGCCGTTCCGTACTGACGTTGTAACCAATAATCTATTGGCGTTGTAATGCCATTGTATGCAATAAAGTATTGGATTGTAATGGGTCTATGATTAATCCAAACGTTAATCCAAACCCTAACCCCCTGACCTCAAACCCCCACCCCCTAACCCCCACTCCCTGGCCTCTAACCCCCCACCCCTAACCCTAAAGCCGGTGGCCTATTTTTCCCCTGGGTATTTAGTCAGACCTCCTTCATATTTTAGCGATCTCTTCTGATTTTGTATAAAAACATTGCCATGTACAGTATACCTGATATCTACCTTCTTTTACTAACGGTAGCGGGGCAGCAACTTTTTTTAGTAAAGCCAGGGCGTAGTAAAACACTAACGTAGTAAAACACTGTTTTACTACGCCCTGGTAAAGCTCATAGCGAGGCTTGAGATTTTTATCATGCCACTTTAAGCAGGGCTTGCATTTTTTAAAAGTTAAAACTTGATTTGCTCCGGCCCGGTGGTACAATAACAGTTTGCATGGTTCCTTAATATTGTGCTCGTTAGGGGCGCTTAAACGAGTAAATACGGTATAGTCAGTATGGTCCATTGGTATTGTGGAAGAATGCTGTTCTTACCTTCGGTCTCATGATACTGTGCGCGTAACAATACAGCAGAAAAAACGTCTCACTTGGAAACGGGAAGAAGTCTTTGTCAGCATTTTCATCACTAATAAGTTGTTCCGCCTCGGAGTTAAAAAATACCTCCCCCATGTCATCGTCTGAAAAACTTTCCTCGTCTGATGAAATCCCATAGACAGCCTCAACTCTTGTGCCAACATCTTCCAAAATCTCCGTTTCTTCTTCCATGTCCATCAGTTGTGCATTTTTTATCGCCAACAACCGTTGAACATGATTGCGCGAATTAAAATGTTGTGTCGAGGTTTCTTGTGACTCGAAACTTTTATTGCAGTCAACACATGTTGACACTGATTGTCTTCTTCTCTTCATTGTCTTACTGAATAAACACAAATAATGAATATGAATGAATATTCATGATCACATACTTTCAAAAACGAGTTTCAAATTTGTATTTCTAGCGTTCATTCAACAGGTGCTTTCCTATTGGTTGGTTGATTTATCTTTTTGAACGTTTGCTTCCTTATTTGGGGGAGGAAAGGAAAATACTGATTCCTGATTGGCTGATTCAGTCATTGCTCTTATTTTTTGTTCAAATTTTTTTCCCGCCTTGGGAAAACACTTTTTCATTGTGCGGTAAAATACTAAGCGTTGGTGAAAATTTTTGTAAAATGTATCGTCCTCGGATGCGCGAACAGGTCGACGAAGACGCGGAAACGCAGGACCCATTCAACTGCTTTGAAGAGTAAGTTATTTTAAAGTAATATTATAAACACATGCACCTGGTTTAATGCAGACTCCCAGTATTTTTGTCCGAAATAATTGTAGCTGTTTCTGTGTTTCATATTTACTAGTAACTTCAACGCGTTTTATGAAGAGCAAACATCCAACAGAATTCAAAATTGTCAGCCGTCTATTACCAGTGGTAAGTACATATAAAGTTGATTTGTTGTTGATACTCTATCACTTTTAATAATGGTTGTTTCCTTTAATTTGTAGGGTCTCAGAGAAATGATGCGACACCGACACGAGACTCATCTGGTGTGTCAGGTATCTATTTTTTATAACATTTAGTTTTCAAACAATTCTAGCACTTGCTTTATATTCAGTAAATTCAACTTGAAACAAAGTTTTAAGTTGAAAAATTTAAATAAATTGAATAATTTCCGCAATATTTCATCCTTCCTGATCCTGACCCTGACCCCGACGTTGTGGTCCCGCCAATCCGCCATTATCCTCAGTCCTTGCAAAACTAAAATGGCTGCTAAGCTTGCAGAGCTAAGCTTGTGGATATTTATATCATTATATGCACAAAACGAAGTTATAAATGCTTTAAAATAATGTTGTTATCATGTCCTAGTGTTGTGTTCAGGGAGTATTCTTTCATAAATAAACATAAACTACTTTTATTGCGTACTGCCTTCGACTTCTTGATATTTTATTTGTTGTTTATAACTTTATAGTGTGTATGGCGACGTTTTAAAACGGCTTTGTTGTTTGACTTTAGGAAATAATAATTCAGAGCGGCTAATACTCGATCTACAGAAAGAAGTGGCCACCGTCAAAAGAACGCTAAGTAGAATGCAAGATGTAGAAGAAGAAATCTTGGCATGTGTCAAAAAAATAAGAAGGGGAACAGAGGCAGAAAAGTTTGATCTTTCAAACTGCTGCCACACTGTGAGTTTAGTATTTTTATTATTTATATTATTAAAGAGGCACGGGACAATTGTATACACACAGAGCTGTCAGATATTATGCATGGCATTATATTTTGTAACTTACATCATAATGCCATTTGCCATTTATGACATTTACGTCTTAAAATATTGTTTCAGGAAAACATCACTCAGCTGCTGGGGAAATACTATACATCGAAAGCACGATTCCCAATAGATTTTCCAGAAAAACAGGTTAATAATAGCATGTATATTTACAGACTATTCGGTTATTTAAAAATAGTAATATATGTATCACAACATAAAAATATTTTTAATACTGGCTGATATATAACATTTTACCATTGATGTTGTTTATAATTTCTACCTATTATTGCTTACCTTTAGCGAGCTTTGAAGTTAGAGTTTAACAACTCTCCAACAGGCCTCTCTGTCGAAGAACTTCTACTTCGTTTCAAGAAGTTTGAAAGTTCAAAGATGTCGTATTGGAGAAGCGAAGAAAGGAGAAGAGTAAGTAATATATAAGACCTTTATTATTTGGCATTCGCACTTAATATTGAAGCTGATTGCATGCATAAACCAGAATGAGACATCAACTTCAATGGCAGACTGATATATCAGACATATTTTCGCTTGCCAGTTAGGGATGTTTGATATACCGATATACCAAAAATACCGGTATTAACCCATTGAGTGGCGATGCACCCTGATGCACCCTACTTTGGTATTTTACTCTGTCTAACGCCAGACAATTTTACTCATCAAGAGGAGAGCTTTGGCGCTTAATGGGTTAAAACCAATGTTGGTATGACTTTTTTCAGTTTGTACCGATATACCGACATGTCCGATATACCAGTATGTTTCGGTACGATATGGCAAAATAATCAATGTTTCTATTAAAAATCTCATTGAAATGGCTGAAATTCCTTTGAAACAGCTTTGAATTTAGGGAAAGTTAGTTTGCTGACCCAGGGCTGCAAATAAATATTTGAGTAGGGTTCGGATTAGGATTAGTATTTAACCCATTGGGTCACATTGCACCCTACTTTAGTATTTTACTCCGTCTAACGCCAGACGATTTTACTCGTCAAGGGGAGAGCACTGGCGCTTAATGGGTTAACTTGTGCTTTGTTTTTACTCCTATCACAGCTTCTTGGAATCGCAGGATATGAAGCCCTGTTACGTGCACCAACAGAGGCATTAGCTGACAAACTGCTGCAGTTGATTGGGCAGAAGTACTCTGTCAACACAAACAAAACACATTTGCAGAATGAGGTGATGCTAGCAGTAAGTGACAATACAATTCTATTATATTTTAACAGTCCTCAATTAAGTGTTTTTCATTTGTGAATCTGCAATTTCCTGCTGGTTTTTAAGTGAAATAAAATGTTAACATAATGCTTAAAACTGTGAAAACTAAAAGAATTTAAAAATTTCAATTAATAAGGTTTTATATATACACTTGGTCAAGTGCTCTGGGAATCAAACCCAGAAACCAGTATTGGTATGTAGTGGTCACAAACATGTGCACTTTTCTGTTTTAAGCCCAGGTCACACTACACAACGATAACGATACGATAACTTGTATACGCGCGCTGATTGGTCAAAAATTTATCGTTATCGTCCGACTGAAAAAAAAAATCGCTCAGGTGAGCGATTTTAAAATCGTTATCGTTATCGTCTAACGATAATTTTACCATTTTCGTTGTTGTGTGGACACTAATACATTTTTTTTGACAATTATCGCGTGTTTACAATTTATCGTATCGTTATCGTTGTGTAGTGTGACCGGGCCTTAACCCATTGAATCGCATTGTGCCCTGATGCACCCTACTTTATTATTTTACTCTGTCTATATGCCAGACGATTTTACTTGTCAAGGGCACAGCTCTGGCGCTTAATGACACAGCTCTGGCGCTTAATGGGTTAATTAAACCATTGTCCAACATGTCCATCAACACCAGTTTTAGCTACTTCATTATCTGATCCCATTGCTTTTATATATTTGATAGCGTAAATATGTCAGAGAAATGACAGTTGCACGGGCGAAAAAAGAGAAGGAATTTTGGCAGGCCATGTACACATGGAAGACGACAACCTGGCCAAATGGGCTATCACCAGATGATTGGCGTGAAGTTAGGAGGGAGGACTTGGCTGCCTATGATGCATAAGAATTAATGATTTGCTAATTCCCTTGCCAGAATCTTAACAAATTAATGATTTATTTTAAACGTTATTACTCGGTTTCAAAACAGGATTTTTCTAGAGGACGTATTAAATATAAACAAAAATACCTCTAGCAAAATTCTGTTTTGGAACTCAATTAACTTTTATAATTACTGTCGTTCCAATTGAAGTGTTGCTGAAATATTCATTCAATACATTACCTCGGGCTGACCAATTCATTTCATCAAGTTCCTCGAGATATTCATACACTTCCTAGTATAATTGTAAACTTCCTGTTGAATAGTTTGAATGCACCAATCACCTTTGTTGTTTGTGCAACTAACCAATGATAAATAGAAAGGAAGTGACCAGAAATGATCAAATACTTGGAATTGGCTCTTTCACAGGAAGTGTATGAATATCTCGAGGAACTTGATCAAATGAATTGGTCAGCCCGAGGTAATGTATTGAATCAATATTTCAGCAACACTTCAATTGGAACGACAGTAAGATTGAACAATGATTACTGTTACAGTATAATTATTCCAAATTAGCAAGCAAATTGGAATTATGTTGTTATCATATGTGTTTAATTATGGGAAATTTAATTATAAAAAATAAATTTTTTTAACCATCACAACTTCTTGTTTGCAACACAACTTTCTTGTACACAACATGTATATTCATCAACAACTTTTTAGTCTGCAACATCATTTTCGATATATGATTTTTTATTTTCAACACAACTTTTTAATTGCGGGAACCACTGAGCATTTTTATTTTCAATACAACGTTTTATTTTACAACTATTTATAACACAACTTTTTATGTTCAACACAACTTTTTAATTGCGGGAACCACTGAGCATTTACAACCGCATTTATTATATTCATTTTGAAATCAATGGTGTTTCCTGCAATTTGATTGGTTCGCAGAAGTGCGATTTCAGCACGAATCGTGCTGAAATCGCACTCCTGTGAACCAATCACATTAGAATGCTGACTTCAGCCAACCAATCATATTTAATCATAGGATTCAAACAGCCAATCAATTTTAAGAAAAATGTGAAATGGCAAATGAGCAAAAACCAAAAAATTACATATGTCATGAATGATTTAAAATTAAGCAATTTTTTGCACATAAAAACAAACTAATATGGATAGCTATAAAAGTAAACTATCAAAGAGTTGCAAATTTTACAAATAGTAAAAGGCAAATTAAGAAAATAATCTTCTATCAAATATGATCAAAACGCTAAAAAAGCAACTATAAATCGGAGAAAACCTCGGGGGAAAACAAAGGTAAATTCGCCTATCGTATTTTCAGTTTTAAATGTACAAAACTGCACCAAAACTCTTTCAAATCACTCGTAAAGCCTACAATATCTTTAAACTTACTTGTGTTGTCTCTTATTCTTTATAAATGTTTTCATTTCTTTAATAATTTAGATTTTTGAACGTATATTAAAATATACTTTAACAAATCCTCATTTTGTATTTTGTTCGCTCATTGTTGCTATGCTAAAACACTCAGGGAGGTTCCGGAGGTGTGTCTTGCAAACAAAAACGTTTCCGGTTTACAAAAATGTTTTAAAATTTCAAAATGAATATAATAAAGTGGAAATTGAACTTTGTGTCGTGCAATTTTGGACTGAAATCAAACTTGTGATTACAAATCACACTCCCACTTCGCGGTCCTGCGATTTTGTAATCACGCGTTTGATTTCAGTCCAAATTGCACTCCACTCAGTTCAATTACCATTATTAATATATTTCTCCAATCAGTTAAAAATCAATAAACTATAGTTTTGCAAAAGGAAACAAGCATGACATAAAGTGTCGCTTAAAGTAAATAGGCCGGGCTAGTTCTATTAAATAAGTTACAGCAATAATTACCAATAAATATCTGCAAAATACTCCAATGTAAATAGCCAAAATTAGCAAAATATATTAGTAATACTGTTACAACTTGCTACAACAGGCTTGGTACAAGATTGTTGAATGCAGCCTTGCTTACAACCTTGCTACAACAGGCTTGGTACAAGATTGTTGAATGCAGCCTTGCTACAACCTTGATACAACAGGCTTGTTACAAGATTGTTGAATGCAGCCTTGCAACAAGCTTGTTACAACAGGCTTGTTACAACTTGATGATCACAACAACTTGTTAACAAATTGTTCTAACAGGCTTGCTACAAGTTGTTGTCAACAAGCTTGCTACAAGTTGTTCCAACAACTTGCTACAAGCCTGCAAATCAACAACTTGTAGCAAGCTTGATATCAACAAGCTTGCTACAAGTTGAGAAAATAACAAGCTTGTAGCAACTTTGTTAACAAGCTTGCTACAAGCTTGTTAAATTGACAACTTGTTGACAAGTTGTGCGTTTTTACGTGTGTAGTTCGATGACGTACGGATTTAATTACGTGTTTGCGATGACCGTTGATGACGATGACGTGTGGCGTAAGCAAACGTTCAACTGGCGTAAAATGCTAAAACAAAAATCCCCTGACTTTCGAAGAAATAAAACACTCCAAACGACGCTTTCTTTAATCAAACTCTTCAGAAATTCACAAGTCCAAGTTCCTGATACACTTAGACGACTTTATTATACGTTTTTACTCCAAAACAGTGTTTTTGGACTGCTAAAAAAGCAAATTTTTAAGGAGTTCCCTCGCGCGCACTCGCACGCGCGAGGATGACGCAATTTTATATCGATTTTTAGTTTGATATTTGGTTTACATGTCACGAATGACGAAAATGCCGTAAATGTTGCCCGCACACGAGGAAATTTTGTCGCTCCAACTTGTCACGAATAACAAGTACGCGCGACAAGTGCGCTCGTGTGCGGCGGGCTTTAGGAACACAATGCAAGTTTTAAAGCTAATCTGAGTCTCCATGGCTTCAAGCAGATTATTATACCCCTACGCGTACAAAAACTACAGCTAGGGTGTATAAAAAAACCGCAACCTCGGAATTTCCTAAGAAATCACTTTGCAATTCGTAAGCATAAAAGATTTTAGGCACCTGGAAATTGAAATAATTATATGCTTCGACTAATCGATTGGTCTGTTGTTTATAATTGTAGCGATGTAAATGCGGAAAGCCTTTCACGAATCATGAGAGCTGTAATTATGGGTGTTTATGAGAGATATGCCCCAATTATCACTAAAAGAGTGAAAGGTAAACCAGTACCGTGGCTTTCGGTTGAGCTTAATTAAGAAACTCATGAATGAAAGAGATAGTCTCCTGCGTAGATACCGAAGAACAAAAGAGAACCAGGATTTCCTTTTGATTGGAAAAATGCACGATTAAATCCAATTTATAAGGAGGAAAGTCGTCGTAATATGGGAAATTACAGACCAATTTCTATATTACCAATATTAAGCAAAGTATTTGAGAAAGAAGTTTTTCGACAAATTTATCAATATTTTAATGTAAATTTACTTTTATCGAAATTTCAAAATTGGTTCGAAAATATGGACAACGGAAAACTGACTGCGGTGTTGTCTTTTTAGATATTCGCAAAGCATTTGATTTTTTTTTTTTTTTATTATTTATTTAGCTTCGCCTATAATTACACAGTCAGACAACACGTACACACAACCATTTCTGTCCAACCCAAAAACGAGCAAACTTCAGCGCCCCTGTCTATGTTTCAACATGATAGTAAAACAAAAACATACACCCTTGACCGCTAACCTAGGACGGTTTAATTTTACAATTATATTCATTTTAGAATAGCTTGATTTTTATGAGCCCAACATGACTTGGCATATAACCGAAACATGGCTCAAACCGACTATACCTAGCTCCCTCGTTTGTCCTCCCAATTTTTCCATCATTAGAAAGGATAGAACAAACTGTGGAGGAGGAGGTGTCGCGATCTTATGCAGGAATGATTGGAGAATGCAGCTACTACCTGATTTGGATAATCCATTCGAATGTTTATGGACAAAAATTATTACACAAAACTCTGAATTCTTTGTTGCAACTATTTACCACCCACCTAACTATGAGTATAATGAGCAAGACTTTCTTATTGACTCGTGCGAACAACTATTGTTATCTAAACCGAATTCAAATATAATAATTGCTGGTGACATTAACAATTTAAATATTCGATCTGTTCTTAATCAACTTCCATTTACTCAACTCGTTAAGACCCCTACGAGAGGGCTAAAAATATTTGATGTCTTTATTACAAATGTCCCAAACTATTGGAAATCTGTTAAAGTTGTAAAAAGCTTGGTGAGATCCGACCATGATATGGTTATCACATACCCCCGAAACATAGTTAAAGCAACAAGGACAAATTCCTATTTCAGAGATGTGAGACAACATCATCAATTGAATATGCTTCGTAAACTTGAATCTATTGATTGGAACACGATAATTATGAATAGCCATAACCTAGATGAGATAACCCTAAAATTTTATGAAATAATATGGCCAAAATTCGATAAGAGCTTCCCACTAATTAAGGTCAGAACGTCATCACGCGACCCTCCGTTCATGTCTCCTCTTGTGAACCACCTTCTGAATCAAAGGAAAAGAGCCATACAAAACGGAAATACTGAAGCAAATACACGATTGCAAGAAAAAATCAACAAGTTAATTCGGGAAAATCAATTAAGTGCAGTCAAACAGGAGTTTGGCAACCAGAAAACTGGATCGAAAAGTTGGTGGTCTAACGTAAATAGCATTACATCGAGAAAAAAGAAACATGATGTATCAGTAAGTGCTTCTCTTAACCCTAGTGAAATTAACAAATATTTTCAAAGTGTGAATACAGACCCAAATTATACGACTCCCGAGCCTCTTCAAATCTCCGAAGGAACAAGAATTCCCTCGTTGTCAATTCATGAAGTTCAACATCTTTTACGCAATCAAAAACGCTCTTCATCGGGTCCGGACAATCTGCCATATTGGTTTTGGAAATCGTTTGCTATTGAATTAGCTCCTATTGTCACAGAAATTTTTAACATGTCACTAAAAACCAGCAAAGTACCTCAGAAATGGAAATCCGCTAATTTATTACCACTCCCTAAAGAATCACCATTAAATTCGTGCAACCAGTTAAGACCAATCTCTCTGACGGACATCATCATGAGACTATTCGAGAAGTGCGTGTATAAATCTGAAATCGCACCTATCACAAGAAATAACATTGGTCCTGACCAATTTGCTTATAAAAAGGGTCACAACTCGACTATGGCTCTGATTAAATCCCAACATCAATGGCTAGAGTGGCTGGATAAAAACGCTAATTATGTTAGAGTGCTGTCGTTCGATTTCAGCAAAGCATTTGACAGTGTGCCCCACGATCTTTTGTTTGAAAAAGTTAAAAAGCTACCCATTAATCCGTATGTGGTGAACTAATTAATTAGCTTTCTAGAAAATAGAATACAAAGAGTAATGGTTGATGGAATGGTTACAGAATATTTATATATTAATCGTGGTGTCCCTCAAGGTACTGTTTTAGGCCCAGTTCTTTTCTCAATAATGGTTGATGATATTAAAACTGCTGATCCTATTAATGCGTTAGTCAAATTTGCTGACGATTTGACGTTAGGAGTGCCTGGCAACGAAAGTGGTGACACATCTCGATCTGAAGCTGCCTGTTTACAGGATTGGGCGGAAGAGAATAGAATGCCCTTAAACTTGGAAAAAACGTACGAAATGGTTGTTCGCAGACACACCTCTGTGGTTTTGCCCGAGCTTATCCCTTCAATTAAGCGAAAAACATGGCTAAAGCTTTTAGGAGTTACTCTACAAGATAACCCGTGCAACTGGGATTTGCACTTTGAAGAAATGCTCAAAAAAGCAAGTGGACGAATGTACATTATGAGAGTTTGCAAATACTATGGACTATCAATTAAACAATTGGATCTGCTGTTTGATAGCCTAATTATGTCGATATTCACTTTTGCTATTGAGCTGTGGGGTTGTGCATACGACGGTAAATATTTGAACCAAATAGATAAATTCATTAAACGTGCACATAAGAATGGTTATATATCAAAACGAACACACATGAAAGAAATACGTGATAAGAGAGATAAGAAACTGTGGAACAAAATAACATCAACTGAGGACAATGCACTGCTTGAACTGCTGCCGGAAAAAAGAAGTAGGTTACTTAGGCCTAGAGGGCATGAGTATGAAATCCCCCTAGTGAGAACAGAAAGATTCAAAAGGTCGTTCATAAATCGTTGTCTGTATAACTTTGTTTAGACTTTAATCTATTTAGACTTTAATCTATTAAAAACTTTTTAAAACTTTTTACGCTTCTTAACTTACAATTGTAAATATAACTAGATCAATTACCTTTCGATTGTAAACTCAGACGGATGTATCTGAGTATTTTAATAAAGACTATTATTATTATTATTATTATTATTATAGACCTATAGACAAAACATATCGAAACGCAGCAAATACGCCCAGCCTCCACGTTTCAAGGTTGGACAAAAAGGTGACAACAACAAAAAGGCGGGGTCACCACAACAGCTTAAAACCAATTACTGTGGGCCCTTGGATACAGAAAACACACAACTAATATATAAATTGAAACTGATTCTATTGATCATGAGATCCTTCTTGAGAAACTGAAATTTTATGGAATTACTGGGGTGGAACATGATTGATTCGAATCATATCTAACTTTCCGAAACCAACAAACTTTTGTAAATGATTTTCTTTCAACGAAAAAAGAAATAATATGTGGAATACCTCAAGGGTCAATTCTAAGTCCCTTGTTGTTTTTAATTTATATCAATGATCTACCAAATTGTCTTGAATCCACAGTTCCATGTTTATACGCAGACGATACACAAATATTTGCCTCCTCTCACGATACTGAAGATCTTATCGATAAATTAAATTCTGACTTAGTTAATGTAATGGACTGGTTAACCGTAAATAAACTCCAGTCACATGCGAAAAAAACAAAGTTCATGCTAATACGATCCGCACATAATTTGAGTGCTAAAGGCAATGAAGTAACTAATAGTATTACTATGAATAATAGTATTATTGAATCGGTTTTTTCCCAAAAGTGTCTAGGGGTTGACCTTGACAATAGGTTGACATTTGATATACACATTGAGAATTTGTGCAAAAAGATATATTCGGGAATTGGTGCCTTAAGAAGAATTAAACCCTTTGTTCCCTTGCGTTCCTTAAAGATGTTATACAAAGCACTGATTCAGCCATATTTTGATTATTGCTCCCCTTTGTGGGATACATGCGGGAAGGTCCATAAAGATAAATTACAGGTGCTCCAAAATAGAGCGGCGCGAGTTACAACAGGAGCAAGATTTGATGTCAACTCGGCAAATGTACTGGAGGATCTGCAATGGTCCACGCTCAATGTAAGACGTCATAGGCTGAAGAGCGTTTTGATGTACAAAATTCTTAATGAGAAGTCCGCTCCAAGTCTTAGAGAAAAATTTATAAAAATTAAAGATCTTAATAGAGAATATAATCTTAGAAGTAATGATACTGATCTAGCATTTCCAAAACCTAAAACAAACTATCTTAAACGAAGTTTTAAGTATAGTGGTGCAATGCTGTGGAATAGTTTTCCTTCTGAGGCGAAAAAGGCATCCTCGCTTTACCAATTTAAATGTAGTATGCCCACTATACTGGAGACTAGGATGTGAGTTAAGATAGTTTGTAAGTATAACACCCCTATCTGAAAATCAACTCATTGTATTTTACAAATATGTTGTGTATGGCCAGCGTGGTTAAATAAATTTTTAAGTAAGTAAGTAAGTAAATAAACAAAAGCGGAACGAAGTAAACAGAGCCCTAAGGCAGGCTAAATCCCAGCACAGCAAAAACCTACTTGACGAAAATCAGAATAAACCGGAATCGTTTTGGAGGGTTATAAAATCATTCTATCCAACGAAGTCATTATCTATATACCACCTATCAGTCCTTTGAATTTGATGGCCCGTTTTTGACTGATGCTGATAAAATTTCAAATGCTTTTTGCAGATAGTTTACTAGCATTATTGTATGTTGTTTAAAGCAAAAGGCTTTTGGCCACTATTCAATCTAAGTTGGAGAATCCCGGATATCGCAAGTAGAACTGAACTCGTCTTGTATCGGTTTCGGAAGTTCACAGTATCTTAAAGCATAGACAATCCAGAAGACAGGGACTGGAAACGCAAGCGAAAGCGCCTATGATGCTACGTGCCATCCGTGATATGGCTTTAAGCACGTCAATGCATGGGGTTGCCGCGCAACCGTGGTCTTTTTTTCAGAAAAAGCACAATGCGAATCCTCCGTTATTTTTGTTTATTTTGTGGATAAAAAGTCATTTATATATTCTATTTTTAGTTTATCTTTAAGACAGAGTTATTGTCAAGGTAAGTACGTTTTCATTTTTAATTTTAATTCTATATAGAGGTAATTTAATTCCAGTTTTGTCGAAGCATGTAATCAAAAATGTCGCACGTAAAATTAGGAAGTTGCTGGGAACCCTATATCTGGAGAATGAAGCTACAAATTGTCATTTGAAACATGCCATTATCATCTAAAATGAATCGAGGGTGCATTAGAGCAGTTACAACTACGTGTGATGTGTGAGTCCAGCATAAACAAGCTTTTTTCACAGTGACTACAAAATTGATGGCTACGTCTATACCCTCACTTTGTAACATGTAACTATAATTTTAGCAAATTACAAGACATTTTATGTAGATGGTTTAAAGGAAAATAATACGGGCTGTGCATTTATCGGTTTTTCCAACTTTTTTTTGCTTTAATGAAGCTTAAAATCATTATTAACTTCGTGCGTAGTATTTTTGACTAAAAAATGTCGCCATTGTTGTTCTCGTAGTATGTGCCTACTAGGAACCCTATAACTTCACTTTTAGCGATTTTCAAAGCATTATTTTTATATATTTTGAACCAGAAAACAATGGACTGTGCATTTGTTGCTTTTTTAATGTTCTTTTTGCTTTAATGAAGCTTAAAATCATCATTAACTTCGTGCGTAGTATTTTTGACTAAAAAATGTCGCCATTGTTGTTCTCGTAGTATGTGCCTACTAGGAACCCTATAACTTCACTTTTAGCGATTTTCAAAGCATCATTTTTATATATTTTGAACCAGAAAACAATAGACTGTGCATTTGTTGCTCTTTTAATGTTCTTTTTGCTTTAATGAAGCTTAAAATCATCATTAACTTCGTGCGTAGTATTTTTGACTAAAAATGTCGCCATTGTTGTTCTCTCGGTTGTTCTCGTAGTATGTGCCTAGTTGGAACCCTATAATTTCACTTGAAGCGATTTTCAAAGCATCATTTTTATATATTTTGAACCAGAAAACAATGGGCTGTGCATTTGTTGCTTTTTCAAAGTTCTTTTTGCTTTAATAAAGCTGAAAATCACCATTAACTTCGTGCGTAGTATTTTTGACAAAAAATGCCGCCATTGGCATTGTTGTTCTCGTAGTATGTGCTTTTATTTATAAAACAATACTCACATATTGACTTATACTCGAAACCCCGTACATAAACTTTTTATCTTATAGCTAGTTTAAAGGGATATGCACTTATCGTCTTCAAAACTTCTTTCAGTCATTTGATATTTATATTTAAGCTAAAAATCGCCAATGTCAATAATGAACTGTTTAATAAAATTTTTTACTGATAGATGCCATACAAAAAAGGATTTTCGTCTTTTTTCGAGATTGAAAAAGCAGCAGTTTAAAGTAATGAAAAAGGTTAAAAGTACGAAACGAAAACTAAGCAACAATCTAGAAAAGGCCAGAAAGGTATAAAATACTATATTAAATCATACCTAAAATAAATAGTCTGTCTTTAAATTTTGACCAAACAATGGACTGTAAACTACCTTCTGTATGTAATCCCACATCAGTTGCTTCCATGAGTTTCATCTCTCGAGTAAAATGCTTTCCAATCATAGATATATCTATTCATAATCGAACAGCTATAAACAACTCTTGAAATGTTTTATTCTTTTGTGAAATGTTTCGAAAAATGTTGAATTTTTGTTTAAATGAGCCCGCAAGATCTGCAGCTGGCCGCATCACGGATGGCGCGCGTAAAACATTAGGCGTTTCCAGTCCCTGTCTTCTGGATTGTCTATGCTTAAAGTCACTATAAATGCTCTAAATCAGTAGGCGCTGATAACTTGCCATTTTGTGCAATCAATTATGCCTACATCTATTTACAAATATATTAAAATTTTGTTGAAATATTAGTTAAAATATCATAGTGATCCTATTCATTATAAGCATAATCTGCCTTGTTATGCATAATTAGTTTGTTGTCGACAAAATAAAAACTGTCAGATTTTGCTTCATATGGGTGGTCCACTAACTCTTGAAGTTCATAACTTGCCAAGGACTCAGAATTTACCATGGCTCCACCACTAACCTACACAATCAATCTATCCTTGGAGAGTGGACTGATTCTAACTGAATGGAAGTCTGCAAAAATTATCTCGGTTCATAAACCAGGTTCTAAGTCAATTATGGATAATTTTCGGCCAATATGATCAATATCTGTTTACCAACAATCTCGAAAGTGCTTGAGAGAGTTGTTCACCGACAGTTAATGAGTTATTTATCTGACAGTAAATTAATTGCTATCAGAGCATCAGTATGGTTTCAGGCCAAAAATGTCTACTGGACTATAGGGTACCTGGACATTTTGTCGAAAGACACTTTGCCGAAAGACATTTTGCCGAAAGACATTTTGCCGAACGGACGTTTTGCCGACGAACGTTTTGCGTAACGGACATTTTGCCTAACGGACACTTTGCCGAAAGGACAACTTACCGAAAATAGAGATGTTATTTCGTCAAAATGTTTGGGACTGTGACACATTTCTCAACAGTGTAATTCTCAACCATTGTGTAAAATTAGCAGTGCATAATGAGTCGTTAGCAGTACATAACCATAATAGAGAGTTTAAGGTTCGCGTTTAACGACAAATGACAAACGTCAGGCAAAGAAAAGCAATAAAAAGTAAATGGGCTTGTTGTTTACGCTGAAAAGCAATAAAAAGTAAATGGGCTTGTTGTTTTATAACTAGAATGCTTAACTATTCCTGACAGTGTGTCATATGAAAGAAAATATGACACATAGAAATCGAACGAAAATTATGCCAAGAAAATTCGGCCTTGCCGTTTGTCGTTCCCGCAAACGTGAAGCTTAAACTCCCTATTGACTATTGGTAGCTTGTTTGTGCACCGGAGGACTCATTTGCTAGGAACGTGTTTTGACGTTAGCCGTAAACAAACAAGCGTGTATAAAGACAACGACGTAAGCAAATTTCACTTTGAGAATCATGGAACGAATACATTCACAGCGGTTCTCTGGGAAATCGCATTCATGAATGATGTTGAATGATGTTATTCTTTTTTATATATCGCGAAATTTCGGTAAACTTGTCAAAAACTTGAAAGAATATAAGCAACCTTTAAAGTTCAGAACATATCTCTATTTTCGGCAAGTTGTCCGTTGGTCAAAATGTCCGTTGGTCAAAATGTCCGTTCGGCAAAATGTCCGTTCGGCAAAACGTCCGTTCGGCAAAACGTCCGTCGGCAAAGTGTCGTTCGTTCGGCAAAATGTCTTTCGGCAAAATGTCTTTCGGCAAAGTGTGTTTCGGCAAAATGTCAGGCCACCGAACTATAGCATCTATCAAGTTAGTTGATGATATTCGCTTAAATGTTGATAAGGGGTTACTACATGGTTGGAGCCATGTTTAATAGACCTAACAAAGGCGTTTGACACTGTTAACCATTCTCTTGCCGCAATATGATGTTCATGGAAAAGAGCTTGATTGGTTTAAGAATTACTTATTTCGGCGAATCATGCGTGTTGCGTATAATGGCAATTTATCCTAGGAACCTATTCCTTCATTGGCGTGCCTCAGGGTTCAATACTGGGCCCGATATTGTTCGTGGTCATCAACGACACAACTGATATTAAGGAATCCAGTGTAATTATGTATGCTGATGACGTAGTTCTGTATGTTGCTGCGGATGATATCAAAGCAATTAACTCGAAACTGTCAAGTGATATGGAAAGTATCGCTGATTAGATGGATGAAAATGAATTTATTATAAATTTTAAAAAAGGTAAAACTGAAACGCTATTGTTTGGAACGACAAAACGCCTAACTAAATTAAAGGATCCATTGTCAGTGAGCTACAAAGATTCCACTCTTAGGCAAGTATCAGTGTACAGATATCTTGGTGTTGAAATCAATTCGACACTGAATCTCAACTCTAGCTAATTTTGATGCCACTTTTAACCGAGCATCACCAAGGCTTACAATGTTGCACAAGATTAGACCAAAACTGAACCTTCCATCTGCTAAAGCAATATACCAAGGAATGATTATCCCTGTATTGACATACTGTGGCGTCTTAAACTTAAACCTTACTACAACGCAGCAAGATCGATTGGCCTCCTACCACAAGCGAGCATTAAAAATAATCTTTGTAGTGGCAGTCTTCCTGATTCAAACTTTTCCATCATTTGTGGAGCTAAAGAAGAAGCGAGCTTGTGTGTTGGTGAGGACGATTATGGATGGCGATATATGTGATCCATTGAGTGGTCATTTTATTCGAAATTAACATGGTAGAGTAACTTGAAACATTGGTTATTTGGCGATCTTACCTGAATTAAAACTGAATATATACGTAGAAGTTTTCACTTCATGGGAGCTAAAGTGTATAATGAGTTCCCTTTAGAAATTAGGCAGACTGGAAATTATAAAGATTTTGTAAATAAATTACGGAGTTAATTTTTACTCGTTCACACGGACAGGATTTTATGGGCCTTTTTCTTTTTTTTTTGTACAAACATATTTATTTTTCACTAGCGTTTGCCCAAGAGCATGAAGCTCATCTACGGGGCTCACGCTACACATTTTTACACTGATAAAAATTATCATAATCGGAAAGTTGAACAACTGGTTCCCTTATCAGTCAGATTAACACATATTCGACTATTGAAGTAATTTCCTTTATGTATTGTTGAACAAACATAAAAATATTCAGATTATCTAACATATCCAAATTCGTAGATCCATGAAGAAAAATGTTGACTTTTTGTAAATCCGACAAGAGATACCAGTTACCAAAAATTTGTGCGGCACTCGAGATTCATGATCCTTATTTATGCAAGCACATTGAAGACAGTTTAAGTTTAACTTTAAATAAATAATAATTTAAGCCACAACAACCTAAACGCAAGCGACTATGTACATGTATTATCGACGAAAACCTATCGATGGCAAAATCATATAATTTATCGTAGTTCACCATGTCAAAGTATTGAAGCAACAAACGTTTAAATGCGTGAACAGTGGATATATTACATTCTCTAACCTGGAGATTGTTCCACATTGACGTAGCTGAATGAAAGAAGGATTTTTTAAATCTCTTGACAGTAGTGAAAGGCCCCACTCTGGCAACAGAAGTAATTAGTATGCAAGCCTAGGTGCCGGAAGTAATTAGTATGCAACATCTATGACGTCACTTTGCTGGGCAAGCCTGGGCCAAATGTGACAGGTAGCGCGGCCAATTAACGCGGGCAAGCCTGGGCCAAATGTGACAGGTAACTCGACCAATTAGCATCACAATACAGTAACGCGGCCAAATAGCGGCACAACACAGTAACGCGACCAAAGTCACAAACAAATTAAAGTTATCAGAGATTATAAATATCGTGTTTCGAACACACATTTCATTTCTCACTGTTGCGTTTTGGCAAGTTTTCTCTGGTTTTCTCTGGTTTCAAGTGTTGTCTGGTGGATTGCGTTGGACTGTTTTTTTTAAATGGCTCATTCGGTAAGGAAACATAGCGTTTTGAATATTTGTTTACGATAGTTTCAGAGTCATAGGCTGGATTTCTGACTAATTTATTTTTTAGATTAATATGCTGGATCTGATCAAGGCTTGTGAGATCGAAAGTGAGCTCGACTTTCTCCAGGAGTCATTTATGCTCACTGATGAGCAGAAGGAAGCTGTTCTTCAACAGCGCATTATTTTCTGGACGAACGCGATGGCCGAAGATATTGAACGGGAGAATCCGGTTGGAGTTGTTGATGGCTTCATGGATAATTGGACCGATAAGCAACGTCGCCTGTTTAACGAAGACTGGGCCAATGACGATGGGCTGTACGAGGAACTCGAAGGAGTCGATAATCCTGAACCGTCAGAAAACCAAATTGGTGAAGGGAGCAAGTGAAAGCACGCCAGTGATGACATCCCCTCAAAACGCCAAAGACCAAAGGAGTATTTTACAATCAAATCGGCGAAACAAGTCAACGTTCGCAAGTTCAGGACGACAGGTACATATTAAACTGTTTTTATATTTTTTAAGCGTGTATTTTTAAGCGTAACATCAGTTACGTGTGGGATATGTAGATTGTTTTATTATAAGAAACGTGTTTATTGCTTGTGTGTATATCTGTAACTGGCCGTACAAGGAATGGCTATCCGGCGCATTATTCGCAAGTTTTTTATAATAATGGCCATAACTCTCAAATGAAGCTTTAGTATTTACAGCACTATCCGGTAAATAGCCTTGTTCGTACAACCCACGACCCCCCGTTTTTAGGTATCCTTTTCTGGAAAATAATTCTATATTTCTGGGTAATAATGTTAGAGTAACCTATACGATGATCAGAAAGACTCAAAACTTCATGAAAATGTCTTTAAATAGCTATCACTAATAGCTATTTAAAAACATTTTCATGAAATTTTGAGTCTTTCTGATCATCATATAGGTTTGCTATTACTTGGTTAGTACAATAGTGTATTACGGTTTTTAGGTACAGACTACACTGTCCAATTCAACCCGTTGGACGTGCACGGGGTGTCAAACGTCATGTCGACGTTGAACCGCGCATTTCAACACTTATTTGACCGACTCACGAGTGATATGGCTCCTCACAATCAAGTTCGCTTGATCCTCAACTCGCATCAGCTGGACAAGTCCATTTCTTTGCCTTTCCTACAACGAGATCGTCTAACCCCAGAACGTTTCTTGGCTGCTGTCGAACGCGTCGTACAGTCCAATGATCAATTCACCTTAGACGGCTCTGTTAGCGTCAACGTGGTCCATGTGGAAATGCCCAACGGTGCTGGACGACGTGCTGTTGTGAACTTGGAAAGTTTTCTCAGAAAAAAGGATTGCATCGTTCAAATCAAAAACAAAGACGATCTCTGTTGTGTCCCGCGATTGTGGTGGCCAAAGCAAAGCTGGACAAAGACCCCCAATACAGAAGTATTGTTAACCATAAAAGGGCCATGCAATCACGCCTTGCTCGAGAACTTCACGAATCAGCGAGTGTTCCTCTTGGTTCCTGTGGAATCCCAGAAATCAAGAAGTTCCAAGCTGCTCTTCCTGATTATCAACTGAACGTGATCTCCAAGGAACATTTGAATGCCATCATCTACTCATGTCCTGAAGCTGAAAAACACCTATATTTATACCATCATGACAACCATTACGACGTCATCACCAGCATGCCTGCCTTCCTTGCCCGTCTAGGGCTACGACAAAATCACCAGCCATCCCTGTGCCATACCCAAAATTGTCCGATCGTTGAATGGAAATTTTGCAAGGACTGTAACCGGTTCTTTAAATTCATACTAATTAAGCGTATTTCAAAATAAATAACAATGTAAAGGAAGAAAGCGATACACTATTCACAATATCATTGTCTAGACTGTTATAGAGAAATGGGCCTTGGTATTTTACAGAGAATTGACAGAGATTTGTTACAATGCTAGGAGTTACAATGTGAAATTCATCTGCTCTTTTAGTACTGTAATTATGTATTTGGCTATTTAATAGGAAAATATTTTTAAAATGTTCTGGTACAAGATTTTTTTTATATACAAGAACATGAATGTCTGACATGTTTGTAATTTACATATGTCATTAAATTTCAATAATCGAAAATTTTTAAAGATCATGCTTGTATGAGAATCAAATGTACTATTATTCATAATTCTAACAATACGTTTCTGAAGAACTACCAAACGAAACAGGTTGGATGCATACGTAGATGCCCAAACAATATTGCAATATTGCAGGTATGAGTACACCATTGAGTAATATAAAGTAAACAATGATTGTTTCAAAAGAAAAAAACTAGATTTACGTATTATTCCTATTGATTTTGAAATCTTCGTTGACACATGACTAATATGAGATTTCCAAGAAAGTTTGTCATCTAAAATAACTCCTAAGAAAACGATTTTTTCCACTTGATCAATTTCTCTATCATTTAATAGTAGTTTCACGTCTAATTCCAATAATTTTTGTCTAGGTTTAAAAATCATAAATTTTGTTTTATCCTAGTTTAAAGATAATCTATTTGTCCTAAGCCAAAACGAAGTTTTTCCAGCTCTTGGTTTATCATATTTACCAAGTAAACCGGATCCCTATGACAAAAGAACAAACTTGTATCATCAACAAATAAGATCAGTTTTGCGCGGGTCGAAACATTACAAATATCATTTATATATATCAAAAACAACAGAGGACCTAAAATAGACCCCTGTAGTACTCCACAGGTTATATTCTTTGAGGTAGAAGATGAATTATTAAACTGAACAAATTGTTTCCGATTAGAAAAATAGCTTTTTATCCAACTCAGCGCTATGCCACGTACACCATAATACTCCAATTTCTCAAAAAGAATGTTATGGTTCACCGTGTCAAAGGCCTTAGACAGATCTAAGAAAACTCCAACAGCGACTTCCCTTTTATCAATTGGTGAAATGCAAGAAGACACGATCAACTGAAGAAGCAAACGAATTCCTAAATGATGATGTGGCCGCGGAAAACGACGTGGAAGACACTCAAAACTTGATGTTCTTTGAGTGTACGCAGGATGATGGTAAACACGTCCCCAATCTGTGCGTAGTCCAGAACGAAAGCGGTGACGAGAAAGTCTTTTCTGGCCCAAACACTAAAGACGAGTTCTGCACGTGGGTATTTCAACAGGAAAACGCCAACACGACGTTTGTCGCGCATAACTTCCAGGCCTACGACGGATACTTGATCCTTCAATACCTCTATAAGAATGGTATCACACCGGAGATCATTACTCGTGGCGCAAAAATCCTTTCGCTCACGGTCCCCGAAATGAACATCAAGTTTATAGAATCTCTCTGTTTCATCCCAATGAAACTCGCCGCCTTCCCGAAAACGTTTGGTCTCACAGAGCTTCAGAAAGGTTACTTCCCTCATTTCTTTAACCGTGCTGAGAATCAAGACTACATGGGGCCAATGCCTGAAGCCAAGTTCTACGATCCTGATGGCATGAGCACCGATGACCGCGAAAGGTTCTTTACATGGTACAACGACCTAGTTGAGCATCAGTACGAGTTCGACTTTCAAGCCGAAATTCTGCGATACTCTCAGTCTGATGTGGACATTTTGCGTCGTTGTTGTCTCGAGTTCCGCGAACTTTTCAGCCAAATCACAGATGTTGACCCTTTCGCCTCTTGTCTCACCATTGCCTCTGCTTGTAATCTCGTCTTCCGTAAAACGTTCCTCCAGGAGAACACCATCGCCGTCATTCCTCCTTGCGGATACAAGCCTGAAAACAAACAGTCCGTCATCGCCTTGAAGATGCTGGCCTGGGTCGCTCAACGCGATAATATTGCCATTCGCCACGCCCGCAACCACGGAGAGCAACGCATTGGCAAGTACCTTGTCGATGGCTTCAGCGTTGAGACGAACACTGTTTGGGAAGTTCAAGGGTGCCTGTGGCATGGATGCGAAAGGTGTTACGCCAGAGATACCGTGAATCCGATCAACCATATGACTATGCAAGATCTTAGGCAGCGAACCCTAGAGAAAATACAATTCCTATAGGACAACAGCTACAACGTCGTAGAGATTTGAACGTGTGACATTGAGCGCGTCAACTTGCCGCGGATTCGGAAATGAAGGATTTCTTCGAAAATTTCGAAATATCTGAGCCTCTAGAACCTCGTCATGCGTTCTTTAGTGGAAGGACCAACGCCGCACGCCTTTACTATGACGTCCAGCCAGAAGAGAAGATCCGCTACGTGGATTTTTGCAGCCTCTACCCATGGTATGTATCTTGTTAACAACTTTTAAGCTTGTAGTTAACCCTCTTAAGCAATTTTTAGGTGTAACAAATACGGCGAGTATCCTATTGGTCATCCTGAGATTATTACTGAGAACTTTCAACCTATCAGTATGGTATGGTATGGTATGGTATGGTATGGTAAAACTTTATTTAATGACGCTGGCCTCGACAGCAATTAGCTGATTTCCACGGTGGGCGTCAAATATTAACTATTTACAAAAAAGAAATATTTACATTGTAAATGTTACTGGTGTGACCACAAATATCATTTAGCTATCATTACCTCTAATAATATTCTTAAATTGGCTAACAGATTCCGCTACTTTTGTATCAAACGGGAGGCTATTCCACAATTTAGCTCCACTATAATTGAAACTCTTTTTAAGGTACTCTCTTTAGGTAGGGTTAAATCTGTTAGACTATTTCTAAGATCGTAGTTAGTTTGGCGAGTGTTTCTCAATATTAGAAACTCCTTAAGGTTAGGGCCGATGTAGCCATTCAAGACTTTGTACAACAATATTGATTTAGTTGTACACCGTTTTGTCTCTAGATCGCCCCAGGCAAGGGAGCGAAGAACATCAGCAGATCGCGTTTCAAAACTTGCACCGGCTATAATTCTTGCAGCCCGATTTTGGGATCTCTGAAGTTTATCTTTGAGTTGTTTGCTGCAAACTCCCCATAAGGGAGAACAGTAATCAAAATAGGGCTGTATATTAACGCTTGGTAAATTGTTTGTATGGTGTTGGCAGGGACGAAAGGTTTAATACGCTTCATCATTCCTATACCTGCGCGACCTTTTTACAAATCACTTCAATATGTTCATTCCATTCAGGAGTTTCGTCCAGTTTCACTCCAAGACAGGTAAATGACCTCTCACGAGGAACCAGCTGGTTATTTATAACTACGGGAAGATCATCATTCATAATTTTGACGGTATGCCTCGATCCTATATACATTACTTTCGTTTTTGTTGGATGGTGTTGTAATTTATTTCAAATTAGCCATTCTCTGAGTTGGTTCATATCATGGTTTATATTTTCTTAACAAGATTTCAGAACTTTGCAGAAGTTAGAAGAGCTTCACAATTCCATTGTGACAGCATGCTCTAATTCAGAACTACGAACGATATCCATGACGATCCTTAATTCGCGATGCAGTGGTCTCATGAAATAAGGAAACGTAAACTATTCGTCTAAGAAACACACGCGGATTTCGGACGAACAAATCTTGCTTGTATTTTGTAGATAATAATACTTTGTTTCATAATAAACAATTTGTCAAGAGTCATTCATTTAATGGTAACAGTGCATGTTTCAATCGGGCAAATTTTGATTAATATTTGATACGCCGTTTTTTTGCATATTTCAGACACATCCAAAAATATGCTCCCGATTTTAAACATTAATATCTCCGTGAATTTTTAAGTGAAATACAACTGTAATATACCAAAATCTAAGTTAGTCCTTCCTCTGTAAGTCTATTTGATGCAAGTTATTTCTCTTTAAAATCTTTACTTGTTTAGAAGTTATTACGAATCAAACCGGAGTACTTTTTTTTGAGACTCCCGGTAGATCTCACCAGCTTGATCTTGATTGGAACAGCATCAAGAATATAACGGTCTTACGAGAATAGATCAGAATGAATTCTTCCTTCTATGGCGACAGATTTACTTTCACGTGTGTATGCATGGCGTTGTTTTAATCCAGTGTTGACGTTGGCATCTTGTGTGAGAGGGTTTACTACATCCATTTTTCCAGCTTTATCTTTATAGAATAGTGCTGAGGTCAAATGTGAATCTTTGGCGTCTTTACTAAAGTTCAGGATCGTTTCGATATACGCTCGGTAAGGGTAGGCTGTGCTTGATGGGGTGACCAGTTTGTTGTTCAGAAATACTTCAACTTGTGAGAACAATGCATGCATCCAAAGGTTTGAAGGGCCAACTTGAATGTCTGCACCCACATTACCTCCGGCTGCGGTAGTGATCTTTGCTTTAACGTATAGGTAACTGCTTGCTAAGTCAGTATAAACTCCAGAATTGGCAGCACATAAAAAATTCTATCGTATCTGAAGATATACTTCTAATAGGATCAATATCTTCCCAAAATCTTTTTTACATTACCACTTGAGTGGGTACATTGTTTCAGCGATTTGAGCCATGCCACTTTGGACTATAGTTATCGAGAGATGTTTTCTGCTTCTTGGTTGGACCGGGAATGGAAGTTTTAGCTGGCGCAGCTCTTTTTATACCCTTTTTGCGACCCTTTCCGGTCATTACTTTCTTGGCGGTGTTTTCTACAACATCAGATACTGCTTGTTTTCCTCGTGATTTAAAAGCTTCTTTTACATTTTTTCCTTGGATTACATCTTGACCGACTTCTGTGGCTGCTTGCAATGCTCTTTTGCCAACAACTTTAGCACCTTGTTTGAATAGAGGAATAGCATATCTCGCAAGGCCCTTGAAAATACCTCCGATTCCATATCCCCTTTGCATACGTGCACCACGAAACCCAGCGATATTCCCACCACGTTGCTGTCTCAAAAAATGGTCTTTCAATAGTTTAGCATCCACAACTAGTCTTCCGCGCATTTTTAGATAAAGTACTGAGATCTCTTCTGTCTAAAGTGAAGTTTTGCGATTGACTTCCCGAACTCAAATGAGACGTTTTCGTTTTGGTCATTCTTTATATTGACTTCAATGGTCTCAAAAGAATTTACTTTGACCGGTACGTATTGCAAATTACGAAAAGTTGCGTGAACGGTTTTTCCATATTCCCCTTCGATATTAACGATTCGTAGTAAAGGCACTTTCACATCGCCGACAAACTGTGCATCAACGATATCCGTGTAAACATACATGGAGGAAAATCCACCATTGATATCTGCAGCATAGGGACTCGAAGTTTTCTTTTCAATAGGAGTGTCCTGGTCAAACCCCAAGACCGTTACTAATTCGCCGGTAAACGACAGAGTTGTGCCGTGTTTTACATCAACCAAAATTTTGCGAGAATTGTGATTATAACTAAACTTTACTTTCGTCTGTATTTCTTTTGACATGCCGGCATTGAGTGCTTTTGTTAGTTGATCAATAGAAGAATATTGTGTTTCTTTAAGCACGACAGTTTGATAAGGGTTAGTGCCAATTTTATACAAAAACGTTTGTTGCACTCCACGTCTTAGCGTGCTCCACGTATGTGGGTAATACAGTTCCGTCAATGCGACTTCCCATTGTCCTGGCAATACAATGGTTTCAGCCAATTTTACTCTAAAATTCGCTACCGTATTATTTGGAAAATACGATAACGAACTATTACTCGGTAACGTGAGATAAAACTGCGTTGCCATATTGAAGACCAACACACAAATGAACACAAGTTATGAGTTTCAAATACATTTATTTAATATCTTTTACACTCTGTGCTGGTACCCAAGAATTAAATTTATCGGGGTAGCCCAGCCACTATACAAAATACTCTTTACGTTTATTACGCATGCGTGATCCAAGTACTTCTTCGACTCTATAAAAATCACTGTCTGTTTTATTCACTCTTTGGAGCTCTTGTTCGTAAAATGTTCCTTTCAATTCTTCGTCATCAAAATCAGCGATCTTGTACACGGGTGGTCGTCGAAGAACACGTTTGGTTATCGTAAACACTTCTTCGGTCCAACTAGGTAAGTATCCTTTCTTAAATGTGCGCCTTGCTTTGCTGATTCGTACTTGATCGCCAATGTTAAACTTAAACCGAACGGGTTTGTCTGACTCTTCTCCATAAAGTTTTTGCCACACAATGCTCTCGTTGTCTTCATTTACATCCAGGGCCGTCGCGAGCGGGGGGGTGTGGGGGGGTGCTCCACCCCCCCAATAATTTTCACAAGTCGGCCCCAGTCGGCAAATTTCTTCGTTACTGTTCGGCAAATTGCGAAATTGGCATTCAGGAAATTGTAAAAGTTAAGAACGAAGGCGATAAATAAAGCGATAAATTTTGGATTTAAAATAATGGTTTGTGTGGTCTTATGTCAAAACCATTTAAACGTATTTCTATTTTCTAGTAATACTATTAGTCTTTTATTTGTCGAAAATCGATGGGAGGCTGAAATGTGAAACCCACGTTTCTGTGCATGTTCTTCGCTCGACTGCTCTTTTAGCGAAGGCTTTTTATCAATTATGTGCGGTTCAAAACTGCCCAAAAGAAAAAAATAAAACTTTAGTGTCTTGAATGTAATTCGATTTTTGACGACTATATAGAAACTTTATTATTTATTTCACGAGGGAAAACGTATTAACCATAAAAGTTATCTAACATACGGCCCGACGATTACCGTAAGAGGCACGAAACCGAGTGCGAGTACGCCGAGTAGCACATAAAGACGTACCAGCTAATCCGTTTGAGACTGCAAACCGCAGTCAAAGCCAAAGAGAATATTTTGAGTCGTCAGAGGCGCAAGATCGTCAAGAAGACTCCACAGGCACCGATGAGAAGAAGACCAAGAGAAAGACGAGGCATGCCATAAGAATGGACTTGTCTTCTTTAGTTCTTTAGTTCTTTAGCGAAATTACTGTTAACTCTTATCAGCCTACTAGAAAATACATGCATGCAGAAACCCTCGCCTTGCTGACAAAACCATTGTATTTTCCAAACATGAAGTATCCAAAGTTGTTGTCATGGTAATAACACGATAATTTTTTAAGAATATTCTTACAAATGAAAAATTGCCTAAAAATATCAATTTTAATTACAAAATTATCAATTTCCCAACATATATTTGTTAGGTATGTTATTATACGTAATATAGGCTTCAATTTAAGGTAAAATTCAACCACAAAAGCTTCGCAAAACGTTTTAAAACGTTCTTTATAAAACTAAATTGCCTGGCTTTAATTAAATGGCTTTATCGATAAACTTTGAGTTTGCAACAAAATGATTTCAAATTCTCGCATGCAAATAACTTAGCTTTCTTTTTAGTAAAAAAATTCAATATAATAAAAAAGGAATCAATATTAATAATACACTGAATTGACTGAAATTATATGCTGTCTTGTTTAGTTATTTCATATACGCAAAGGGCCAAAGGCCGTCGGGTTTTAAAGCAATTATAAAATCAATATTTAACACAAACTTACCTTCGTTAACGTCGGCTCCCTTCTTTTAGCCGATTCTTTCGCCGTTTCTATCTTGAAATTTACAAAATCTTGCAAAAATGCGAGTAAAATTGAAGTATATTTGCAAGAAATTTATCAATCATCAAATCTGTGATCAAATCAAGAAATGTTTGCTATTTCGCTGTCGTCATACAGTCGTTATGATGCAAACTTTAAATTGGACCAATCAGTGTCCGCTATTCATGACAGTGCGCCATATTTTTGAGATCAGTGAGGATGACCACCCACTCAACACCGTTGGTCACCCACGCCCGCGATACTTGATGAACTTTAGACTCCGCTAATGCTTTCGTTTCCCCGGGTGTAAATAGCCGGGGGGAATTAGTACCCTCGCACGGCGCTTCGCGCCGTCGGCTCGGGGACAATTTTGAAAGACATACCGCATACAGCGATCGGTATCATCGATCGGTTGCATATGATCATATCCGTTTTACTCGCTTTCTGACGCATAAAATTTAATTAAACTCTTGAAAAATCGGGTCGTACAAACTATCCGGCACTAAGAGTTTTAAGGCTGCTCAAAATACAAAAATATTATAAATTGTCTATTCGGCGCCTGGGGATAAAAAGGTCAAATTCATCAAATTGCCATGAAAATATTGAAACAAAATATCAATGCAATCACATGCAGATACTTGGATACCCTGGTTCCAGAGGTTTATTCTTATTATTTTCATTGCGAAGGGGAGAGGAAAAATAAACCTCTGGTTAAAAGCGGCTATTGATTCATTGAGCCGTGCCAATCAGTTTGAATTATATTAGGGTCAGATCCTGACTCTGTCTCCTGATTGGATGATTGTATTAAAGTTCTCTGATTGGTTCAAATAGAACATCTATAACAAATCAGAGAGTTTTAATACGATCATCCAATCAGGGGACAGAGTCTGGATCTGACCCTAATTCAAACTGATTGGCGCGGCTCAATGAATCAATTGCCGCTTTCAACCAGAGGTTTATTTTTCCTCTCCCCTTCGCAATGAAAATAATATAAATAAACCTCTGGAACCAGGGTAATACTTGGATAACTTTTCTGACTTTGCGGAGATGTGCGTCTGCACCACAGTCTAAGACATTCGTTACTCAGACTATATGCACACGGTACCGTTTCCGAGCGTTTTTCGGTTTTTGCCGTTGTAATGCGTTAATTTCTGAAACTGAAAGTACCATTTTCACGTACGTTCTGTTCACACGAAAACGTATATGAAAACGACGTCAGGAAGCAAAAACGTTTTAAATAGTGAAAACGATGCCAAAGATTCGTTCTCTATGTCTGAAACTTTTGGTCGTTTTGGCACTTTGTTATTATGTAAACAGAAAAGTAGCAGGCGAAAATGAAATTCCGTGTTTAAATTTGGAAACGAAGACTATAAAAAACTAGTGCTTTGTCTGAAAATGTTGCGAGAAAAACGTTGTTTCAGTCCCGATTTAGGACTTATGTGCACATAGTTTCAGTCTCGATTTAGGACTTATGAAAACCCAGTAAAAATTTTGTTAAATTTAAATTTTTTTCAGCTTTATATGTTTGGCCATATATAAATAAATTAAAATAATGCTCCTATCTGAAAACAAACGCACGCAAATAAAATAGTGCTAATCATTGAGCTGTGGTTGCAGTTATTGCAATTGTGTGTTTCGATTTCGTGACCATATATTTGTTTGTTCTTAGAATGTCGTATTTTATATATAAAGCAACCCGATTCCTTTTTAGCAACAACCCACGAACAGGCATCCATATTTCAAAACAAGAGCCATATTGGTGTCCCTCAGTTACTAGCACACCAATATGATTCTCCTTACCTATATATAACCTTTACAAACTTTTGAAAAACTCGGCAAATTCAACTAGCGTCACTCGGCAATTTGACCTTCGACACCCCCCCCAATCCATATCCCTTCGCAACGGCCCTGTGTTCAAGCAACAATTATAATAATCTTCTTGAACTACAAGATCTTCTCTACAATATTTGAGTTCTGTTAACAAGCATTTGAACTTCGGCACAGAATAGGGAAGGCTACAGTTTAGCCTAGTGACTTATTCAAATACATAAAAAATTATCCCACCATGTGAACAGCCTTAAGACACCTGTTCCGGAATCAGGAGGTAGGAAACGTGCAATTTGAATATCGAACACCTTGCACAAGGTCGAAGGTCAGCTAAATATTCTAATTCTACTTTCTTGGCATGGGCAGTTTTCTGTAAATACCTTCTACACTTAAGCCCTAGGCAAACTAGGAAACATTGTTGCGGAAACATTTGTGATTCTCGATGTTTCTTCAAATGTTTCCCTGTTTGCCCACCCGTGGAAACAATGTTGGGGAAACAAACTTTGCTTCCCAAAAAGCAAAAATGTTTCCCAGCGAATTCAGAAACATTTGATGTTTTCCTAGTGTTTGCCCACTCTTCGAAACATGGCAAAACATTGGTAAGAAACAATGTTTCCGCAACAATGTTTCCTAGTTTGCCCAGGGCTTTATAACTTCTTTCTTTTGTATGTATAATTATAACACTGTCAGTGGTGAAGCTAGCCAAAGCAACAGGCCATGCTATGTGAGTTTTTAATTATTTGCATTATTCAAATAGATGCAAGGCCGGCGAGAGCCAACCACAGGCCACGGGACAAAATAACGATTGGTGAACCTGGGCCCCCTGTCCCTCTCGACCCTCCTGCTGGCTATTTTTAATCGCAATCAACAAGAGACCGATTGCCAGTGAATTACTTGCAAGAAATCACCGCATAACTGATAAAACGCAATGTGAACAATGTTCAGCTAACTGTTTTTGCTGAGAAAACAATCGAAAAATTGTCTATTTCACATCTAGTACGTTTTACAAAGTAGGTGCATTTCATTTAGGACAAACATAAAGCAATGATAAACAATACGAAAAATTTACCGAGATTTCCGGGCCCCTCTGAGCACTCCGGCCCCCGGGTATTTTGCCTCCCCCCCCCCGCCGGCCTTGAATAGAAGCAGGTTTATTGGCTTGGCATGACCAGTTGCCATGGTAGCTAGCTTGCCACTGAATACTGTGCAAAATCATATTATATATAAACGATAATAATATTTGAATGAATCATGTAGAATTTAATAACCATTTCATATATAGAAATAGTAAGTCAGTTTTTGTCCCAAGTATTGTTTTAATATAATAATGGCACCTTCAAGGCTACCCCTATTGCAAAACAACTGAACAATCTGCTGATGACTGATGGAAAGACAAAATCTATATGTTGACAGTTTTGTTTCATATGTTAGCTTCTGATGACACCATTCACTTGTTATATGATTAAGATTGTACTCAGTCACAAGGAATTTTGAGCATTATCAAAAAATATAGTATAATCTGAATACTATAGTGACACAGCAAGGTGAATATATAAATGTAGGCTGGCAGGATTATTTCATATTATACTAACAATCATTGGACATATCTCAGAGATATATTTTTACAGACAATCATACTTTTACAAAACGCGGTTGACATGTTTAATAAATACATGTAACTGCTGCATGGTAATGTCGAGGCAAATCCAACCGCGATCAGGCCCCCCGGGCAACCCCCAGGGAATTTGACTTTTGAAAAAATAATTGGTCAAATGTCCGCCCGAACAGGCAGAAACCACAGTCAAATGCCCTGAGTAGTAATATAGGTACCGTTCGACCCTTATTTTTGAGGGTGCGTAAGGGTGCGTAAGGGTGCGCTAATTAATATTCATACAAATGAGGGTGCGTAAGGATGTTGAGGGTGCGCTAATTAGTACTCGTACAAATGAGGGTGCGTAGTGACGTCACTCATTAACACACGTCATAATTATATGCAATGACGTCACGCGGGCGAGCTTAAACACGATCGGGCGAAACTTGCTGACTACGCATTTTTTAGCGTCCCTCCTCATGTATGATACAATACAGGGATTAATGTTGGCTTACTATGATTGGTTGATTGATTTAATGAGCGTCTGTATAAAATCGACAAGCGTCTTGTAACAAGCATAGTTCTGCATTAGTTCTACATCAGTCATGGAGTGTCTACACGGAAAAGCTGCTGCCTCTACAACTACAAACAATGGTACATTTTGGTTTTGTGGGGAAAAACCAAGCTGTGAGTTCTTTTGCCCGGACGAAAATTGTTATATGTATACGAGAGCTGTAGCTGCATTTCGTGCAAGTGGTTCTATACATCCCGTATGTCCTACACATCAGAAATTTGCCAAGTTATGTGTGGTCAAAGACACAATGAAAGATAATTACGGACGACCCTTCTTCGTATGTTCTGAGCGAAAGAATCCCTGCAAGTTCTGGCAATGGGGAGACGTATTTGAAGGTCCAAGACCGTTATGTAAACATGGAATGGTGTGCTGTGAACGAAAAGTCAAGAAAGATGGTCCGAATCAAAACCGTCTGTTTTACTGCTGTCCGAAGGACGACTCTTGAGGTTTCTTCGAATGGAAGCAACAAGGCCCTCGGGTGACCAACACTGGCATCGTGCTCTTCAGTAATCCACTACAATACCAGTACATGATTGAAGAAACAGGAGAGACATTTAATAGTTCTAAATCTAACACTAAGGAGGCCTATGATGAATTTCGTAGATTTGGTTTAACAAGTGAACTTGATAAAATAGACCTCTTGTAATAATAATACGTTGCTAGTTAATTAATGTAAATTTGCATATATTTACTGAAATAAATACTGTGTGTCTCATTTGTTGTTCAATCGTTGTGGTGAGAGTATCATGGATAACATAGATATAATTTTTGATGAGTTGAAACGAAATGAAATTGATATTGATAAGCAAACTTTATCGTTTCATATAAATACAATTCTCGACCGCCATCGAGATCTATATCGTGCAGTAAATGCTCGTGATCTAAACCTTGACCAAATCTACAGAGAGATCAATGTAACAAACTTTGGTTGTATCATTACCTATTTAGCTTTGGTATGTGTACAAAATGATAGCGAGGAATCTATTCGTCACAATGTACAAAAAACCATCGAGGCATGTCGAATTTTTACTATTCCCAAACATAAACGAAGTAAACGTCCAATTTTAATAACACTCTCACTCACACTGATAACTTTATATATCAGTCTATAATTACTGGCTGTTTCATTTTGTTCAAACCTCTGAAGAGTGAGGATGCCTTGCTGTAAAGGTTTACCACAAATCTCTCTTCGAAACATTTTTCGAAAAGTACGCTGTATTTCTGCTTGCTGTGGTGGAAAAATTGTAATTCAAGCCTCAGACATCGATGGCGGAGAAATATCTAAGCCAGATCTATTACGATCCAGAAAGCCCCGCAAGTTTTGGTGGCGTAGATTCCGTTTATCGCGCCGTGAAAAACGAAGGGAAATATGAGATATCGCGGAATAAAATACGCCAATGGTTACAAAAGCAAGATGCCTATTCATTGCATAAACCTGTGAGATATCGCTTCAGGCGTAACCGTGTTATAGTTGGAGCCATGGATGATGAGTGGGAGGCAGACTTAGTCATTATGGATTCATTAAGTCAACAGAATAATGGGTACAAGTACGTTTTAACTGTTATTGATGTACTCAGCAAATATGCGTGGGTTGAAGCGATAAAAGCAAAAACTGGGAACAATCTTGTCAAAGCCTTTGAGAAAATAATCAAGAAAGGCCGTAAACCGAAAATGTTTCACACTGATAAGGGAACGGAGTTTATCAATAGACAGTTTCAAACCTTTTTGAAGAAACATAGCATTCGATTTTTTACGACGTACAACGAAACCAAGGCATCGATTGTTGAAAGGTTTAATCGCACGCTCAAGACGAAAATGTGGAAATACTTTACAGCGAACAATACGCTCAAGTACGTGGACATTCTCCAGAAACTGGTCAAATCTTATAATCGTTCTCGACATCGTAGTATTGGTATGAGACCGGTAGATGTGAATAAAAGTAACGAGAATATTGTGTGGCAAACACTCTACGGGAAGGAGTCGAAAAAATCAATCCAGTTTAAGTTTAACATTGGGGACCAAGTCCGGATTAGCAAAGCAAAGCGAACATTTAAGAAAGGATACTTGCCCAATTGGACTGAAGAAGTGTTCACGGTAACGAAACGCGTGCCTCGACGACCGCCTGTTTACAAGATTGTAGATTATGACGGTGAAGAACTAGAAGGAACATTTTACGAACAGGAACTTCAGAAGGTCAACAAATCAGACAGTGACTATTATAGGGTAGAAAAAGTAATAAGATCACGCATGCGTAATAAACGTAAAGAGTATTATGTAAAATGGTTGGGTTACCCTGACAAGTTTAATTCTTGGGTACCAGCAGAGAGTGTAAAAGATCTGAAATAAATATATTTGAAACTCATAACTTGTATTCATTTGTGTGTTGGTCTTCAATATGGCAACACAGTTTTATCTCACGTTACCGAGTAATAGTTCTATGGCTTATTTTCAAAATAATACAGTGGCAAATTTTCGAGTGAAATTGACCGAAACCATTGTCTTGCCAGGCCAATGGGAAGTGGCATTGACGGAACTGCATTACCCACACACGTGGAGCACGCTAAAACGTGGAGTGCAACAAACGTTTTTGTATAAAATTGGCAGTAACCCTTATCAAACTGTCGTGCTTAAAGAAACACAATATTCTTCTATTGAACAACTAACAAAAGCACTCAATGCCGGCATGTCAAAAGAAACACAAACGAAAGTGAAGTTTAGTTATAATCGTAGTTCTCGCAAAGTTTTGGTTGATGTAAAACACGACACAACTGTGTGGTTTACCGGAGAATTAGCAACGGTCTTGGGATTTGACCAGGACACACTTATTGAAAAGAAAACGTCGACTCCCTATCCTGCAGATATCAATGGTGGATTTTCCTCCATGTATGTCTATACTGATATCGTTGATGCACAGTTTGTGGGCGATGTGAAAGTACCTTTACTACGAATCGTTAATATCGAAGGGGAATATGGAAACACCGTTCACGCCAGTTTTCGTAATTTGCAATACGTACCGGTCAAAGTAAATTCTTTTGAGACCATTGAAGTGAATATAAAGAATGACCGAAACGAAAACGTCTCATTTGAGTTCGGGAAGTCAATCGCAACACTTCACTTTAGACAGAAGAGATCTCAGTACTTTATCTAAAAATGCGCGGAAGACTAGTTGTGGATGCTAAACTATTGAAAGACCATTTCTTGAGACAACAGCGTGGTGGGAATATCGCTGGGTTTCGTGGTGTACGTATGCAAAGGGGATATGGGATCGGAAGTATTTTCAAAAGCCTTGCGAGATATGCTATCCCTCTGTTCAAACAAGGCGCTAAAGTTGTTGGCAAAAGAGCATTGCAAGCAGCCACAGAAGTCGGTCAAGATGTACTCCAAGGAAAAAATGTAAAAGAAGCTTTTAAATCACGAGGAAAACAAGCAGTATCTGATGTTGCAAAGAAAGTAATGACAGGAAATGGTCGCAAAAAGGGTATTAAAAGAGCAGCGCCAGCTAAAACTCCCATTCGCGGTCCAACCAAGAAGCAGAAAACATCTCTCGACAACTATAGTCCAAAGTGGTATGGCTCTTGAAACAATGCATAAAGACTCCTGTATGTGCTCAAAATCTGAACTCGATTTATTTTCTATTCCACCGACTCAAGTGGTAATGGAAAAAGGATTTTGGGAAGATATTGATCCTATTACGAGTTTATCTTCTTCAGATACGATAGAATTTTTATGTGCTGCAAATTCTGGAGTTTATACCGACTTAGCAGTTACCTATACGTTAAAGCAAAGATTACTACTGCGGCCGGAGGAAATGGGGGTGCAGACATTCAAGTTGGACCTTCAAACCTTTGGATGCATGCATTATTCTCACAAGTTGAAGTATTTCTGAACAACAAACTGGTCACCCCATCAAGCACAGCATACCCTTACCGAGCGTATATCGAAACGATCCTGAACTTTAGTAAAGATGCCAAAGATTCACATTTGACCTCAGCACTGTTCTATAAAGATAAAGCTGGAAAGATGGATGTAGTAAACCCTCTCGCACAAGACGCCGACGTCAACACGGGATTAAAACAACGCCATGCATATACACGTGAAAGCAAATCTGTCGCCATGGAAGGAAGACTTCATTCTGATCTATTCGCGCAAGACCGTTATATTCTTGGTGCTGTTCCAATCAAGATCAAGCGGGTGAGATCTAGAGATCCGTTTTGTTTGGTATCATCCGCAGAAGATCCCAATTTCAAAGTGGTCATCGAGGAATGTTTGTTTCGTGTACGACGAGTTAACGTAGCCCCTAGTATTATACTGGCTCATTCCCAGTCCCTTCAACAAATCACGGCCAAATACCCAATCAACAGGATCGACTGCAAGGTTGTCTCCGTACCTCGGGGGAATATGTCTGGAAATCAACCTAATATATTTCAAGGTGGTTTACCAA